AGTTTACCCGCCAAAATTTTCACGAGGCCGTATGTGACACTCAAGAGCGCGGGAACGCTGAATTTGGATGGGCAAGGTTGAGCCTGGGCAGGGGGTCATTACCCTAAAATTTCAGCCTCGTAGACTCCGTGGTTCCCGAGATATTAACTTACCCGTGAAAAACTTTCACGGGGCCGTACGAATTACCTGCGGGTAAGGGAAGGCTGAATTTGAATTTGCCGCGTCATCCGTTGGCGGGTGCCGTACGAGTTACCCGCAGGTACGGGAAGGCTGAATTTAAATTTGCCGCGTCACCCGTTGGCGGAGAGTACTACGCTAAAATTTCAGCCGCCTAGCTTTTGTGGTTCCCGAGTTGAAAGTGCGGGACAAAATGTGGGACACACACAGACAACCCCGTGACAATATGCGTTTTGTAATGCTGTTACACAGCACAAAATGCATAAAAACGAGGTAGGGTGACTAAGAATGAACTGGTTTGCTATATTTAGCTAAATCAGTAGTACATACTGGAAGAATGGGCAGGACTGGAGAAAAATTTGTTGGGGTGGCTACTTTTCTTGTCCGAACCACGCACGTAGAGGCACGCCTAGTAAACATCTTGGGAGACATTCTTCTTTTTTTGATACAAGCGCTTCGCCAAAATCGCACCAAACGGAACAAAAAATTGTAAAAATTGTGTGGGTATTGCATTAAAAAGCATGAAATTAAGCTAAAAGAGAAAATGCTCTATTTTGGGCAGCGGAACGCGGAAAAACATTAAAGCTGTTTTGGGTGAAGATTTTCAGAGTAGCTTTACTTAGAGGAATTACCTCCAATTTTCATAGTTCCCTTCCCCTGTCCTTCCTCTCTTCCATCTTCTTTCCTCCTTCGCTGTTCCCTCTGGTCTCTTGTCCGCTTTTAATGTTTTGTAATATTGTTGTGTGCGATCATCCCTCCGCATTCATCTAGCCTGTTACAGGTTTTTTTTGAAGACGTGAAGTTACAGATGGATAGCAAACTTTGGGCGGAAGAATTCAATCGTCACAATCCACCTAAAAAGGTATTTTCGGTATTTTTTTTTGTAATTATAAAGTTGGACTGCAATAATGACATTATCTGGGCACAGCGGGATGGTAGAGAAGGGTGAAAGATTGAAGCGAAATTATGACGAATTAGGGATAGCAGGCGCTGTTTTTGCTTCAGATAGCACATTATGCAGAAAACAATACCTAGCAGCTAAAAGAGAATCTTTTTGTTGCGAATCAGTAAGGAACAGGTGAAATGGGATTCTGCTGTGACCGATAAAAATGACGATGAGGAAGAGTTGAGGATTTGCTGCTAATCTACCTTCTCTCATAACTATCCGAGAGTATGAGGGTCACTTTCGAGAATGGGTGTGATCACGAGGACAAGGGGGGGAGGGGGAATTTGCCAATTTTCCCACTCCCTCCCCACTTATCACTACATCAGAAGCCTCACTACTCCCCGCCCCCCTACCTCCCTTTCCGGTCGGCCCCAAACTGCAACGACGACTGTTGGGGGGAAGGGGCGGAGGGGGGGAAGGAAGCAGGGACAGGGTATCGAAGAGAGTTTTCTAACACCCATCGCCCCCTCGGATCCGCCAGTGAGTCAATCAGAGCAGTAACGGTGGCAGCTGGGGCCAAGCCAATGCTAAATATTTACTGAAACATTCCATTAAAAATCTGGCCTCTCTCCACAGCAGCCCAAATAACGTTGCCGTAAAATTGAAGAAATTTTCTTTTTGAATTTTGCAATATTTTGATTTAAATGCTTCTTTTTTTTGTTTTATTAAAGCCACTAATGCTAGGCTGTTTTAGATTGACATATTTCAAATGTGTGTTCTGGAATTTCCGGATGAGAACCAGCCATTCTATCACATGGAACGTTACATTGAAGGCGAATACATCAAGTATAATTCGAATTCGGGCTTCGTCTCTGGCATTCATCGTAAAACGCCACAGGTTAGCTTCGCTGTCATAAAAAATTTAAAGTGTGCAGAAAGTTTAAATTAAATTTCGAAAAATTTTTGGGCGACGAATTTTGAAAAGCTTTTGGATGG